CCTTGAAATGTTAATCATCGCATGACAGTGGAAAGGGAGGACTCTACAGAGCCCCATCCCGTTTTTCCTGAAATCTGCGAAGCGATGAACATATCGACACGAAAGTTTCATTACTCTCGGTTATATAAATGTGACACCTTATGTCCAAAGGAAAATTGCGTAGCTACCATAAATGGGCCAAATTCTAATAAAAATAACGTCACAGTGAAGAAATGTTCGACCGATTTTGATGCAAAACATGGGCTCACGACAATCTGTCTTAAGATCACAGCTTTTGAGCTAAAAACAATTAAGAGCTTTGGAAATTATACTACACGCATAACTAAATTATGCCCACACTACACTTTGATTTTTTTTGCAAGTTATCTTTGAGTTTGAGATGAAGCGTAACATATTTGATCGAACACATACGGACAACCTAATCTAGAAAGTTTTAGCCCGTTTTCTTAAAAAATACACCTTATTTGCTTGCATATTTTGCCGTAGTCAGTTGCCAAGGCATTCACCAATAGCAACAATTCAGCTGCAATTTTTAATGCGTGTGACATCGCATACCAAAACAAAGAATACCACCGTGTTCCTGAGCATAAACTGCATCCTATAGGCAGATTTTTATTCAACAATTTGAACTTCGAAATTTGACCTTTTTTATCTGACCGCGACCTGAACTTCGCAAAAGCAAGCTGCAAATGGCTTCAGATGGCATAGATGACACTATTTTCGAACTCTCTGGCCAAATAGACCATAAAACATGTGCTGCATGACCTATACAAGCCTTTAAATTTCCAAGATAAGGTGTGACCTACCCTGACCTAGCGTTGACTAGAAACATACCAAGTACGACCTCGTTACCATATCTTCGACTCACATTTATGAGAGTAAATCAAATATGTGCCTACTCAATGTGTCTTATTTGGCGACGGCCAGAGGCCGAAGAGTAAACAATAAACATGCCTAAATGACGATAATTATTACTTTGAACTGACGTGTGACGTCATCGGTGATCTCGCTGCCAATACAATTAGGTTTTAGTGGACAGTTTTTCCAGGGATATCAAATGTCGTTTAAATTCTAAAATCAGACCAGCAGTTTCGGTGTAGGAGGGAGTTAGTTGTCTGTCGAGTCCCCTCTCAGTCACTCACGTTATGAAAATAACGCAGACGTGCGCGGGTAAATACCCTTGTTACTGTACCCAAAAGGAGTTGTAACTTGTAATTTACACATCACTTTAATGGTCCACAGAATGTGAGCATTCCAGCCGAATTTGAATATTTTGCCAAGAGCTGGGAATAAGGATGCTTCTTTAGATAGAACCACGACCGTGCTATTTAGGTAGGTAGGTATAAGTACGGCCATGGCCATGGGTACGGCTCACAAGTCAAAGGAACTGAAATACAAATATCGAACGTTGATGAGCGCTTAAGAAGGCCTTTAAATTAAATATTCATCTGTTTAAAACAAAGACTGAAGATTAATATTGAGAAATGAGGTATTGCCGACGTTTCGCATTTATTGCTTATTCATGGGCATATAAGATGATTCATGGGCAATGGGCATCTTATATGCCCATAAATAAGCAATAAACGCGAAACGTCGCGGGTAATGTCTCATTCTTCAATATTTAGCTTCAGTCTTAGTGTAAAAAATGAATTTGTAATTTAAAGACCTCTCAACACTTGTCAGTTATTGGGGCATTCCACGATAGATCGTACCACTTTTTTCCAATTTGACACCCTCATCTCTCGGAATTTGACGAGAATTGGTCTCAGGGATAATCAGGGGCTCTGAATCCACCTGTAACAATTTCAGGCTTATCAGATAAGTATTTTTTGAGTTATGGTGTATAACATTTTTTGGATCTTGCTTTGCAGCGCTAAGTTTGGCGGACTGTAACTCTAAGACGGATTATTCAAATGCCAAATGTTATATAACATTGAACTTGCAATGAAACAGAGATTAATATGTATTGTTGAAATTTCGAAAAATACGCTATTTTTTATATATGACATATCGAGTTTTCTTTCATTTGTATTTTTTGGACTTTGGAACCAATTTTTTTTTTGAATTTTTATTTCTTTAAAAAAATATTTGGTTCATTGTTAAGATGTATGCAAAAAATTAGGAAGGTGTTCTTTCTATAAATGTATTTATTTTACGTCACGATAACGGTTTCGAATAGTGATTTCGGGAGGGGAGCTTACAAATGGCGTGGTAAAGCTGCCTAGTGACATCACGGGTTACTGAAATTTCAATTCAAGTCTGAGTCATCTGAAAAAAGTGAAAAGAGGGTTCATTCAACCTTCTTTCCTATAAGCGCGAGGGTAAAAAAGGCTGTTTGGTTCTGACATTGTTTTGGACGCCAATGACCATAGCTGTCCGAGATGAAAGTTACAGGACGCATACATGGTGTCCTCCAGAGGTCTCACAACTTGCATATCTGGGAATTTTTCAAGGTTACATGAGTTCAGGTCGGTCACGTGACATCACTGTTATAAATAAATGGGGAAATATAAAAACTGTTGTTTTGGCGCCGAGAATGATCTAAAACTATCCCACGTACATGGTATCGTGATTTCATGCACTTCTTGCAAAGTCCAATGCTTTACTTTTGCATGGTTAACCTTGCGTGACGTCATTTATGACGTCACTAGGGTCGTACGAGTTTTTCGTCAATAACTCCCGATCAAATGGAGCTAGAGAGTCGGGAAAGCCACCAATGGACTCGTGAAGACCTTCCGAATCGAATGATATGCCATATGATACCCTTTGCCCAGCTTCGTGACCTGAGGGGCTATGACCTGACCTTGACCCGAGGTCAACTACTTAAGTTGACCTCATCGTAGTAAAAAGTATGCCATTCGATGCACCTGAGCTAGGCGAACACAATGATGCCAAAATCGCGGCTGTGCGGCCATTTTTTGCGAAGTTATTTGCAAAAAACCGAACCCGTAACTTCAGTCACGTGACCTGACCTCAGACGCTACCGGTTAACCTGAGACCTTAAAATCGGGTACCAATCGCTGCGACTTGTAACGGCACACACGCTCGTTTTTTCCGCGTGGCTCTAGCTCTATTAGAAGCGAAACGGCGTGCTGGGGTCGTATCAACCCCTCCGAAACCCATTTTGTTTGCGGGAAAATGAGGAACTTATAGACAGAACACCTTTCTAATTTTTTGCATGTCGATTTGCAATGACATGAAGATTATTTTGAAAAAATAAAAATGTGAAAAATTTTGGTCCCAAAAGTCATTAGAGGGAAATGAAAAAAGATTAAGTTTTTTGCTCAACAATGAAATTTTTTCTTTGGAATTTTTAAATAGTAATATTAATTTTTGATTCATCCCAAGCTTAGTGTTGTTTAATTTTTGTTGGTTGCTTAACCCGTTCTTGAGTTATAGGCCATCAAACTCACCGTTACATACCGAAGTTAAAAAAATGTAATGCAATATAACTCAAAAAGTTTTGATCTGAGAAGTCTGATAATTTGCCAGGCGTCTTTGGGGCCTATGATTACCCCTAGGACCGATTTTCATTAAAATCTGAGAGATGAGGGTGACGGGCCTGGTACGATCTATCGTGGAATGCCCCTATTATCTCCTAAATAACGATCGTATTCAATGTTTAGCATTGCCCTTTTCATCGCCAACGTGACTACATCGGAACGTTCTCGCGACCTACCATCCCAATATCCTAGCATAACCATATGCCCTACGCGTAGGCCTATGGATTGCTTTGCCTATGCCTATAACTGTGTGTTTGTTCGGCTGGCAAATGGTCCAATATCACCACCATGCACAGCCATGCTCCGTTGATACAGCAATCATCTGCGCTACATTTAGTGTAAATGAATAGTAGGTACTAAAAGTCAGAATCGAAAAATTATGCCACTGGTATGAAACACACTAGACTCATTCAACATAAGCAGGTAACCCAATGAGCTTGGCAAGTTTATTCTGTAACAGTAATCACAAGTGCAATGGAGAACTATATTGTGTTTTAATGTGCAGATGATAGAATGAATAACTAATTATTCTCATAACATATACAACCATCTTTTGAGGGAGCATTTACCAAAGGGATGCTTTGCAGACATGGCTGCGGCCTGTGAGGTAGCCACGCAGGCCGATGGGTCCGGTTTTGCCGACCGATAGGTCAAATGCCACCCGCTGATCACACCTAAGGTCAACCTACGGCTTCTTTATCAACATATTGTCGTCGATAGACCGATGAACTGACATGCAGAAGTGAGATGTGACGTCTTTATTGCTTGTGTGGCACGACTGAGTGGTGTCATGGATTGAACTGGATGTAGGCACGACTGAGTAATGTCATGTGCTGATAACACGACCGAGTGATGTCATGCACTGAGTGGTGCGACTGACTGATGTCATTTGACATCGACAAATCTCTGTACTTGCCAGCACTCTTGTCACTGCCTTTCCCCAGAGGGCCAGAGCGGATGTATATGTGACACGTGCCTCGTCAATGACAGTGAATATAAGCATGGCTCGGTAAATGTCATCCGACCCCATACAGGGAACATAGCGGGCCACTGGCATAAGATGCGGCGCGCCGTGTGCCATGAGAGGGAGCGGACCCTGCGCATGGGATCGAGACGGTGAGTCCTGAGCAGGCCGCCCGGACGGCTCAGTGGTGTGACGTGTCGGTGCGCTCTCTGGAAGTAGCGGCCGTGCACGGCGCCCCGTAGGCCTGCCAGAGCGTGACTCAGCGGGACGTCCACACAGCAGACACCCCACGCAGTGGCTGTGAGAGACACGGCGGAAACGGCCGCACGCCGCGCCGGATGCCGCGTCTCGGAACGGCCGTGTCGGCGGCTCCTACGGCCGGCCGTGCCGAGCACGGCTGGGAGGGCTCCCACTGCCGTACCGAGCACGGCATGTGGGGGCCCTCCCTGCCGTACCGAGCCGTGTCTATCGGCAGCTCAGCCGGTTGTCAGCGCGATAACTCCGCGCAAAGCAAGCCAATGCTCTGAACCCACCTCTGCCGCTGCGTCCGACGAAGCGCAGGTCGTTGAATTTGGCCACCTGATTCTTGATGAAGGCCATGTTGTTGCGCAGCTCGCCGCAGGGGTTTTCGTCGTTTCCGACGCGCAGGGTGACGGCGGTGCCGTCGGCCACCTCACCGAGCGCGATCACCTTGAACGCCACCGGCAGCGTCTTGTTGGAGCGCCAGTGGGCCGGCAGGCAGGTGCACACGAAACACGGCGACCCGGTGCGCACCAGCTCGTGGCCGTGCTCGGTGGCCACCTGGTTGTAGGTGCGCTCACTCAGGTACAGCTCGGGAGCCACGCCGCTCATGATCGCGCCGCGCTGACGCTCCTGGTAGCCGGCGAACAGCAGGTCCTCCGTCAGATGCATCGGGGGCGCGGCACCGGCGGCCACGCACCGACGGCCGGACGCGGGCGCGAGAGAGCACGGGTTGCACTGCAGCGGCGCGGCACGGCCTCCCACCTACACGCGCGGCGGCGGCACCACTATGAATGACGACCGCACCGCAGCCGCAGCCGCAACCGCGCCGCCGCCACTGACTCACCCGCCCGCGACGCGCATGCGCACTGGCAGTACCGCCGGTCCAGGTCGCTCAGTGTAATTTGCATATAATTGGTGTATGGTGTGGCCGTGGTCCGTCTGTGACGATCGGTGTATCTCGGCTGATTGAAGATGTACGACACCGAGTCTGTCTGTCAGCGGGGGAGGCCCTGCGCGCGGTGACAGCCGCTCGGCCGTCCGTCGTCCGGGCCGTGCCGACTGACGTGCACGGCACGGTGTGACCGCCGCCGACCGTTCCGGCGTTCTGCCGACTACGGCAGCGTACCGAGGGCGTATCAACTACGGCGGCGCCCACCTGTGGTGTGTACCTACAGGGTGTCCCAGACTTGACCGAACATTGCTGATCAATGTATAACAGCGAAAAATTAATTGCAATTTTTTTCTTTTTATCGTCCGAAGATCGTCCGAAACACCATGTTATGACTCATGTAATCGACAAACTGGTCACAAGATAAGACAAAAATTGCAGATAAATGCTGGCTCATGGTGGCTTCAGATGTTTCACACTTCTGACGAAACTGACCGTATAGGCCTTTCTTTTCTGAAGACTTGCTAGAGGATTCTACAAATATTTTCGATTGGATTTACAGCCAATCGATGTTGTCATGCCATGAAGCATTCTAAAAAAGCAAAAGTTGCCTTCACAACTTTTGTGTTGCTTTTGAATCTGAAGTGCAGCATCTCCAGTCTCCATGCCACGGAGCATGGTGCACCGTTCTAGACTTCCAGCAACTTTGGTTTTCAAAACCAAACTTTTGGTTTCCTATATGTTACCACTACCATTGCCCATACCATATGCATTAGGTATACAATACATACCAGTAAAACGCCTTTTGGGCGAAGAACGAGCGAGCGAGATAGTGAGCCCTGCACGTGCAGAAGGGCGAGAGGGTACTTCCAACGGGCTTGTGCAAAGCACCCTTCTAACCGGTCGCTAGCAGTGTACCAAATTTGAACACAATCGGCCCAGCCGTTCCTGAGATCTGGAAGCGGTATTCTGCACGTGCGCACGTGCAAACGGGGTCCAAAATGACTTTTGCACGGCACCCTACTAACCGGTCCCCAACCGTGTACCAAATTTGAGCGCAATCGGCCCAGCCGTTCTCGAGATCTGGAAACGCCCCCTGCACGTGCGCACGTGCAGTAGCACCCTAACCGCAACACATGGGAATGCATTGCCGGGTGGGTGCCTACCTGTATGCCAAGTTTCAACGAAATCGCCCCAATAATTACCGAGTTACTGAAATGGGAACAAATTTGGCACCTCTTATTGTTGTATTTTGCACGTGCAGTGGGGGTCACTCACATAGATGAAGAGTATCCGACCTTTGGTAGAAGGGATGCAGCTACCCTATAAAAATGACCGCAAGACAATCGCTCAAGCCGCTGCTGAGATATGGGCCTCTCAAAATCATTACTTTTGCAAAACTGCTTGAACACCCTTGACTTTTCACGTGGCACGTGCCACGGCGGTCACTGAGATGTATCAAAAGTAGTCAATTACGGGGTAGAAGGGATGGGGCTACCCAACAAAAAAGACCGTAGTCCAATCGGTCTAGCGGTTGCTGAGATATAAGCCTATCAAAAGCGTTACAGGCCGGGCCGGGCCGGGCCGGGCCGCTCATACTGAGATTTTTCCGTTATATTGAAAAGACTCACTTCGCTCGCTGCGCTCGCTCGCTCGTAACCATACCATGGATACCACACCTACCATTGAGTATTGGCAATTTTTTCAGTAGTCATCCTGTTGGATTTACAGGCAGCTTATCATCATCATCATCAATTTATTATGCGTCTTTTTCAGACAATACACATACACATTTCACTTTCCAATAAACACACCAGCAGTACAGATACTGCATGTAGGACGATGAACACAACACTAAAACGCAATTGCAAAGCACATTAACAAGTCAACACATTTGTGAAAAAAAACCTATGAGCACAGAAGCCTCACGAGACGACGGGACATCACTGTCTGGCTGGAATTTAAAAGGAATCTGAGCGAATCTACTACACCGTCGCTGTCGATCGCGCTGCCTATGAAGCTATGGTCCACATGACCCCTCACAGCATCAAGCACGTTTTGAAAAGAACAGTTTAACAGTTTGTATGCCAAGTCCAGAAATGTTCCGTGCAATTGTCTAGGCTCGGTAGCTAAAACAGCCAGCTCTCGTAGCATAATGTGTTTCAGTCGGTGTTGGTGGCTTCGGAATATACCCGATAAGGCTAGCAGCACCGCTCGTCTGAGCCGTTCATGTATTCTCGGGATACCTAAAGCTACAAGCAAAGCAGAATGATGAGCGTATTTAGATAATCCGAGGGCAGCTTTTATGCACCGAGATTGCAGGCCATCCAGATCGTCAACATCACACGAGCGAAGGGGGACTGTTTGACATCCGAAAGTTAGGGCAGGGATGACCACAGTTTTCCAAAGAAAGACTTTATCTGAAGGCGACAGGCAGTCACTGAGCATTCCAGCAGGAGTCAGTCCGTAGAATGCTCCACGAGCCCGACTAACACGGTGCTGTACATGAAGTGACCCGGCTAGATCCGCTGACAATGTGACACCTAGATGCTCGGTCACTGCTCGTACAGCAAGCTGCTGACCAGATAGGTGCCAGACGGGGAGCGCAGACAAAAGTTCAGCACCAAATACAATACAGTGACTTTTGGTTTTTATCGGATCTACATGAACGAATTCAAGCCTCCAAAACCCTGCGAATTGATCAACTATTTCCAAAAGTTTACTTAGGTTTCCCGCATTGGTAGAGAGCAGCATCAAATCATCTGCGTAGCACACGGCAGGAACATGGTAGCCAAACATGAAGGATCCGCACAAGCTAACATCAAGTAGACTTAAGAGAGGCTGAAAGAAAACATTTGCAAACGCTGGCGATAAAATGGCCCCCTGTCTCGTTCCTCGCTTGATGTCAAAACAACTCGACATATGGTCAGCATAAGTTACGAAAGCTTTTAGACGTCTATACCACACTGTGACCAAATGCCAGGACCGGGGGCTCAGGAACTTCTCTAGGCGAAAAAGTAGACCATCATGCCAAATTTTATCGAAACATTTCCTCGCATCTAAATTGGCTGCAAACACTGGAGAACCTCTCTGACTGTGCCACTGCGCGGTTTCAGTAACAAGCATCGTTGCCTCGATAGTACTACGGTTCTCCAAAAACCCAAATTGTAGATCACTGGGAGAGAAAGATTCGGTCAGCTCACTTAGCAAAAGACACTCTAGTAACTTCGACATAGTAGTAGTGAGAGATATCGGCCTGTAATTGTCCAAGCAATCTCGATTCAAACCTGACTTCTTTAGGATGGGTCTCACAACACTAACAGAAAAGGCGTCAGGGACCGATAAAGTGGCGTAACATGCAGTGAGGAGACGGCCAATCGCAACCAACAAAGCTTGTGATCTACCATACAATAGATGCTCTACTGTTACGTGGTCTATCCCCGGAGCAGCACCTCGCTTTAACTGCTGGATCAGTTCACATACCTCATCTGGGGTAACAATACGGATCTCGGCAGAGTCACAACCAGTGGAGAAGCGAGTGGCAACAGCGTCACATATCAGCTGTTGACCAGGGCTCAACTGTGAATCGTCATCCTGGCTGATCGATCCAAAGTGGTCGGCGAAGTCGTCCACAGTAAGATTACTGCATCCATGCTGCCCACCTCTTCTCGCAGCGTTAACACGACGCCAGAATGCACTAACATTACGATCACGCCGAAGACTGTGAAGAAGGCGCGCTTCCTCATCTATCCTGTCCCGTGAAGCAGTTTTACGGGCGCGGCGGTATGCACGGCGAGCCTCACAATAACACGCGTAAACAACGCTGTTCACAGGGCGGCCACAATCTGTCCATAATCTGAACCAGAAGCGAGCCTTATCACGAGCGCTGGAGACCCTTGGAGTCCACCAGCTTTTAGGAGAACGCCTTAGTTTAGCACAGCCCGACGCCCGGGCCGCAGCATGGATAGCATTAGTGATGTGCATATCCAACTCGTTCACATCGGTGAGCTCCGGTGTCATCTGCACGTTACTAGCAAGGTATGCCGACAAGTGTGTCTCAAGTGCCGACTTATACATTTCATTGCGGCTATTGCAATCCCAATTTAGAACATCAGGACATCCATTTTTAACTGGAATACTTTTGCTTGATGGTGATGAGGGTTTCTCACCACGTAGGGCAAGTCGCATATAGCAGCTAAGAGGCAGATGAGGGCTTAGGTTCTCCTCTGAAGGCGGCACAATGTCACATGATATCACTGACCGAAGAACATTTTTTGGCACAATGATATGGTCAATGTGAGTACGAGAGCTACCACGCTGGTATGAGAAGGAGACAGATTGTGTAAATTGAAATTCAGCTACGGAGAAATCATGCTTATCAAGAAGCTCTTGCAGAATGCTGCTAAACAACGAAAACCCACGGAACTCATACCAGCGGGTCGGACGCGCATTAGCAGCCAGTCTCGGCAAGGCACAGTTAAAATCACCCACAAGAACAACAGGAGAACAGGAGCCAAGTGCAGTGATAAGAGCATCAAGCTTACTGACAAGATGAGAAAATTCATCTAGATTCTTCCGGGAAGAATCCCAATAGGGCATGTAACAGCCGAATACTGTCAACCTCGGTCCTAGCGTATCACTGATTTTAACACCACAGAGGCGCTCATCTCCACAGTCTATCTCGTCATAGCGTACCCCAGGGCGATTGCGGCAAATCATAGCAACGCCGCCATGACGGCGTCCGGCGCCCGCACCAGGAGGAAGATCCATGGCGAACTTTTGCATCACTATACAAGCATATGAGCAGCAGGTATTGACATAAACAGGAAGATAGCACTCCTCGGAGCGGGACATCCACGTTTCTGCAAGAAATACTACGTCATGTGCTTCAATGAGCTTACAAA